ACCATCCCATTTTGTGTGTTATTAAGCTGCCCCCGCATTTGGAGCTCCTGTGCAGATGATTTTAATGCTCCCCAAGCTGAGTCTGCTCTGGCAAACTGGAGGATTTTATTTTGACACGGAGACACTTGCTTGGCAGTTCCTATTGAACAGAACTGATCTTCAGACTTCCAAATATTCTTTTCTTTTTTTTTTTTTTTTTTTAAAAAAAAAGCCTTTTAAGTGTGTTTGTGTTGGGGGAGAAAGTCACTGGTGTGAGCTGGACTCCTGAATTCTGGAGTGAATGGGGATCCAGGTTCCTGCATCCCCTGCAGCCTGCTGGGGTGGCTCTGCTGCTGATTTTGGGTTTAAAGCAGTGCCCTGCTCAGGGTTGCTGCTGCTTCCTGCAAACCACTCACAGACCTTGGCCCCAGAGGCTTGGAGGGACGAGTGCTTTGCATGTTGGAACAAAAGGAGCTCAGAAATTTGGCCTGATCCAGTTAAAAGCCATGAAATCGCCTGATTTCAGCCCAGGATTCATTCAATAACCATAAAGTCAGCACAGCCCCCACCACCCACACACCTCTGGCTGCTGCAGGTGCAGATCCTGGCCATGGCAATTCCCATTTCCCATCCCTCCTCCTGCTGCCATCATGGAATCCATGTCTTACTCAAGCTGCTGCTGTTGCTTTCTTCTTTCTTGAAAAGAAAACCCCAAAGAATGGTAAATTCTGCCTGTGCCTTGGCAGCTCCGAGGCACGGACAGATTGTGCTTCAAAAAAATGGCAAAGTTTCAAAATATTGTATTCTGTGAAGAAGAGACAAGGAAAATAAACTCCCCAAAATGCAGATTTTATTTCCCTAGGAGGAAAGGCTTTTCGTGTTTATTTGGGTTTGGCTTTTTGCTCCCTGGTTCTGCTGACACCATGCATGAACCAAGATAAGATTCAACACTGCACAACCTGTTCTGGGTGCAGTTCAAGTCAAAATTCCCAGTGGATTCATTTTCTCCCTCCCTCCCACAGCAGGTTCCTGAGCCTGGGGACAGCCCACAGGGTAGTGCAAGCAAAGCCTTGAAGGATAAATGGAGCAAAGTGAATAACAGAGCAAATTTGTGCCCGTTTCTTGTTTGATTTCGGTCGTGGCAGTGTGACTGCAGCAGAGTGAATCCTTGGGGTTTGCCAGGAGGAGCTGCTGAGTGCTCACAGGGACAGTTCAGCCCTAAAAGAAGCAGTTAGTTCCTCCACAGGCAGTTTGGTGGATTTTTGTGTCTTCTTTTCCTGTGCAAAAGCAGTTTGAAGATGCCTTTCCTGCGCCTGTCTCATTTCCTTGAGGATGCAGAGAGAGGCTGGGATGGCAGCTTGGGAAAGGCCGGAGGAGCAGGGAATTTGTTTGCAGGGAATTTGTTTTCCTGCACTGCCAGACCTGTATTTTTGGGATTCCTCTTTTTGGATAAGGTGCCAGCATCCAGAACAGCTCTCCCATTAAATATCCCACAGATCTGAGGTGCTCCTGGCACAGCTTGGGCACGAGAGGGAATGTGGAGCACCCAGCACCAGAGAACTCTAGAAATCAATGTGGATCCCCAACAGTGCTTTGGCTTCCCAACCCTAAATTCCAACACAACCCAAGGAGGGCAAAAAATCCCAAATTTTCTACCCATAGTCCCATTCCAAAGAGTCCCACTCATCCTGAATGGAAAACTCAACAGAATAAAACTTTGCTGAAGATCTTCAATGTTCAAAGCACAGATGGAGGAGAACTCTACAAACCAAAATGGTTCCTCGATCCCCACCATGGCCCAGGAAGGGCCAAACCCCAAGATGCCCCCTCAAAGAGCACAAATCACCCCAAAATCCCCACTAAAATTTGGTCTTTGCAGGATTTCACTCCTGGGCTATGCTCCTTAGCACGTCCATGACTGTGTAGGTGAAGGTGGTGAAGCCCAGAATGAGCAGAACCCAAAACCCCACCAGAACCCAGGAAGGGCAAAAACCCCCAAATTTTCCAGCCAGAGTCCCATTCCAAAGAGTCCCACTCATCCTGAATGGAAAACTCAACAGAATAAAACTTTGCTGAAGATCTTCAGTGTTCAAACCACATTGGCCTGCACTGCCAGACCTGTATTTTTGAGATTCCTTTTTTAGGATAAGAGGAATCTGGAGAGGGAATCTGGAGCACCAGCACCAGCAGGGTTTGCTCCTCACTTCTGCCTCTTGGATACAACCAAAAAACTGGAAGGAAAGGGGTCAAAGAGCAGCTCTGCTCACTGTAGGAATTCCCTCACTGGTTTTTAGGGCAGGTTTTGCGTCCTTACACACCAGCTTTACTTTTTGGGAAAGCTCAGAGCTGTGCTTTGTGCTCTCCATGACCTTGCTGCTTTTATTTTGCTTTTCCTGTGTGAGCGTGGGAGCTCCTGGGAGCAGAGAATTGAGGGTTTTTTCCCCATTTTTTCCCCTGTGTGCATTTACAGCTCTGTTGATTTTTAGTCCCAGCAGTGAGTGTGCATAGGGGTTTCCAATAAATGCTGTTCCCATGAGGTGTCAGCTGGGTTCTTGCAGCCTGCCCAATACTGGAATGACTTTGTCAAATTTTGTCCATTTTTTTGGAGCAGATGAAGAAAAAAAATACTAAAAAACACCAAAAAACCCACTAAAATTGGAAAAAAAAAAAAAAACAAACCTCCACCAAAACCCCAAACCCAAACAACAAAAAAATCTTTTAAAAAAACGCAAACAAAAACAAAATTAAAAAACCCGCAACAACAACAACAGCAACAAAACAACCCAAAACCAAAACTCTAAAAAAAAGAAAAGCTAATCTGAATTGATTAATTGATTCATACAGGTCATTTTCCACCCTGGGTGCTACCCTTTGATCCAGCACCCCTCTGGCACTGGGATGCACAGGCATCTATTGATGTGTCAAAAGGAAAAACAAATTCAGACATGTATAGGTGAACTTTGAGAGAGAGGATTGGGAACAGAGAGGGAAAATCCTGCTTAAATAAAAGAGTAATTAATAGAAATGGTTAGATTAAATGTGCTGAATATCTCAATTAGATGCTTGTGCCATTTTTGGGGGGGATGGAACAAATTATAGGTTGAGTATATGGATGGACCAAATTATAGGTGAAGTTTGAGAGAGAGGGTTGGGAACAGAGTGAAAATCCTGCTTAAAAAAAGATTAATTAATAGAAATGGTTGGATTAAAAATGCCGAATACCTCAATTAAATTGTGCCTTTTTTGGGGGGGATAGGCCAAATTATAGGTGAAGTTTGAGAGAGAGGGTTGGGACAGAGAGTAAAACTCCTGCTTAAAAAAAATAAGAGTAATTAATAGAAATGGTTAGATTAAAAATGCTGACTACCTCAGTAAGATGCTTGTGCCTTTTTGGGGGATTTTATCACCCAGGCAAGCAGGCAGATGTTTCCCTTGGGGTTTGGTGCCATGAGTGATGTTTCCAGGTTGTCTTCTCCCAGGGGCTGGATCTGTGCAGTCATAAAAAGCTTCTTGTGTTTCTCAGCTCAGAAAACTTGGCTGGTCAGTGGGAATAGAAACAAATGGCTTTGAAGCCTCCAAACTGGAATTCTCCTTTATTTTTGCTGGGTTTGCATAACTGTAGTGACCAGGAGATGAAAGGTGCAGTTAAACAGAATCACAATCTGCACTTTCAGATGCAATTTTCAGAAGATGTTTCATCCTGCCAGGGTTTGAAGTTCTGTATCTGGAATGGTTTTAAATCTGAGAAGCGTTTGAAGGGTTCCTATGTGGGTAGGAGCAGAAATACCTTTCCCTTTGCATGTTCTCCTGGCCTGCCTTTGCCAGAGCTCTTGCCTGTTTTCTGGACCAAGTTGGCAGGCAGAGCTCACAGGTTTTAATGAAACCCTGCTGAACAAAGGCACTTTCTGTTTGAACTCTGTGCCCTGAGTCTGCCCCACCAGCCTGGCTGGGCATTTCTGTTAAATGAGCTCAACAAATACAGACAAGCTGTGTTTTGCAAATTAACCCCAAACAAATCATCCCAAACAACAACAACCACCAAAAAGTGCCTTTCTTTAACTCTGCCTCTTTCTTGTTTTCCAGGCAAGAAGAGAAACCCTGGGCTGAAAATTCCTAAGGAAGCATTTGAGCAACCACAGACAAGCTCCACGTAAGTCTGCAAGCGCTGGGGCAGAATGAAAAGCAAACCACGAAGCCCAGCTGCCCTCCAGCCTTGGCTGGCACTTGGATGGAGCTTGGAGCACCCTGGGATGGTGGAAGTTGTCCCTACCCATGGCAGGGAGTGGAATTAAATGACATTTAAGGTCCCTTCCAACCCAAACCATTCTGGGATTCTGTGACAATTTCTCAGCCCTTGCGTTTCCCAGAGGGTCTCAGCCCCATCATTCGGTCTCTTGTGCAGTAAAAGATAAAAAGATAAAGAGCAGAAGAAAAAGATAAAAAAAGAAAAAAACCAGAATGAGCCCCCAGTTTTTACTGGTGTGGCACTTTGGCACCAGTTTGAGCAGCAGGCATTTGGTCAAGGCATGAAACTCCTGCCCTTGCCTGCTCAGCCTTGCAGAGGGAATCCCTCTGGTTTTGGGGCCCTTTGTGCATCCCCAGCCTGCCTGGCTTTCTTTGCTTCTGTGGTTTGAGTGTTTTTAGCCTGTCAGCCCGTGCTGTGTGACTGAGGTGATGATTTACAGCAGCTTTGGATGCTCCTGCCCATTTAATGCACTTTTCCTGCAGGCTGGCAGGGATTTGGTGCTTGCCTGGATTTCCCAGTGAATCCCTCTGGGGTCCTGCAGGGGCAGGCTGGGTGTGAGAAATGCCAGCTCCAGTTGCTTTTTCCCCCCTTTTTTTGGGGTGACTTTGTGGATCTGCTGATCCTGCAGAGCCAGGAGGCTGCTCAGGGCTGCAGGGAAGGTGTGAGGGGATGGTTTGGGGGCTGGATTTAGTCACTGAGGGAAAATTGATCTTTGTAGGGAATATTTCAAATCTTTTCCCTTTCTTTTTCATGCAGGCCACCCAGAGATCTGGACTCCAAAGCCTGCATCTCTATTGGTGAGGAGGTAAGAGTGAGAGACCTCTGGGACCAGAGACCATCCTGGGCTGGCTGCTTGTGCTTTGCTTCACTTCAACCGCCCAGAAAGGGCAGAAAATTAACATAATTTATATATGTTAACATATAATTTATATATATATATATATATTATTTATATTTATATTTATATTTATATTTATATTTATATTTATATTTATATTTATATATAATTTATTTATATATATAATTAACATTATAATTTATACATTTAAACATATATTTTCATATATATAATATTTATATATAATTTATTCATATATATAGTTAACATTATAATTTATACATTTAAACATATAATTTATATATAACATATTTATATTTATATTATATTTATATTTATATTTATATTTATATTTATATTTATATTTATATATAATTTTAATATAATTTATATATGATTAACATTATAATTTATATATTTTAACATATACTTTATATATATAAAACATTATAATATTATAATATTATAATTAACATTATAATGTTAATAATTGTTATCATTAACATTATAATGTTATAATTAGCATTAAAAGCCCATTTTACCTGAAAGAAAAAGCAGCTGCTGGAGGAATAAAAGCTGAGAAGCTCCAGCCTGGGAGCTCCTGAGCTCTGGGGGTTTGTGAGCCACGTGCAGGCAGAAATACCAAAGTGCCCCCTGGTTTTTGTGCTCCTCAGGCAGGGCTGTGTGGGTGGGAGCTGGAGCTTGGCACTGCCCAGCATCACCCTCTGCCTCCCCTGGCACGTGGGCTCCCTGCATATTTTCCACCATGGAAATTCCTTCCTTGCTGCACTGAGGTGCAGCTAATCCCCTGGAAATGACCATTATCCAGCAAGGGGCTTGCTAACAGGGTTGTTTTACTCTCCTCTGCAGTTCCTTTGCTGGTTGAAAGCCTTCACCCAAAATATTTCTCTTTGCTGATGTTGAAGGTCATCTCCTCCAGGAGTTGAGCTCAGGGTGGATGTTCCTGCCCTGGAAGGAAATTATTCTGGCAGCATGGAAACCAATCCACCTGGATTAAAAAATATATCAGGGAAAAAAACAAACCCCAGGACAGTGATTTTGATAGGAGGAAAAGGCACAGCAGAATTCAAAAACAAAGCACTTTAAAGCTGGACAATAAATATGCAAAAGATAGGCCTTGGTGTCAGTGGGGTAATTTATACAGTGAAATTCTAACCCAATAATGGTTTGAAATGCCTGATTTTGGAGGCTTTCCTTTCATTTTGGGTTTTGTGTTTGGAGCAGAGGCTGGGAGGTGGAAAGAGGGTGCAGCAGAGGGGCAGAGCCAATCCCTGCTCCAACAGGAAGGAATGGCCCTGCCGTGCCAGCCCTGCCCAGGATGCTCCGCAGCACTGAGGGACCCGGTGGCCCCGGCGAGGTCCCTGCCACCCTTCCCCTGCTGGGACCGGGCTGTTGTGACCCATCAGCAATGTCCCCTCAGAGCTCTGGGGCCACCATGGTGCTGGCTGATCGCCCTGCATTATCTTTTTATTTATATAGATATACATATACAGATATATACAAATATATATATATATATATACACATATATATATTTGTATATATCTGTATATGCATATCTATATAATTAAAAAAAAAATATATATACATATACCGATATATACAAATATATATATATTTATTTTTATATATATATTTATTTATTTGTTAATTGGATATTTTAAAAAATATCTTTATATGTATGATATACAATTTATCTATTAAATCTATTACTTAAGATATAGAAATATAGTATTTTATTATTTATATAGTAGCTATGTAATCTATATACTATAATTTATCTATTTAATATTATATTGTTTAAAATATGTAAATATAAAATAAATAAAATACAAAATTATTTCAAAAATAATATATATTATATATAACAATAATGAGTATTATTTTTATTTTATTATTTATAATCTATATGTAATATATATAATTTTCCTATTAAATATTATATTATTTAAGATATATAAATATAATATCAATATAAAATATATAGATATATAAATTATATAACTATATTGAATATTTTATTATTTATATAATATCTATGTAATCTATATACTATAATTTATATATAGAATACTATAATATTTAAAATATAAAAATATAAAATAAATAAATAAAATATAAAATTATATAAAAATATTGTATACTATATGTTATACATAACTATAATGAATATTATTTTTTATTATTTCATTATTTATAATCTGTATGTAATATATATAATTTATCTATTAAATATTATATTCTTTAAACTATATAAGTATAAAATGAATAAATATAAACATAAATATAAATATAAAAGTATATGATCTAAATTATATAACTATATTGAATATTATTTATTTTATTTATTATTATTAATGATATTAATGTTATTTATTTTATTATTTATTTTATATGTATATATTTATATTTATTTTTATTTATATATAATATATATATAATTTATATCTATAGAAACTCCCAAGGCTGGGAGTTTCTCCCAGCTGGGGAGGGGATGCACAGCAGGGGGAGGATGTGCCAGGCAGGGCTGCACTGGGGGGGCTGCAGGGCTGCACTGGGGGGGCTGCAGGGCTGCACTGAGGGGGCTGCAGGGCTGCATTGGGGACAGCAGGGCTGCATTGGGGGACAGCAGGGCTGCACTGGGGGCTGCAGGGCTGCATTGGGGGGGCTGCAGGGCTGCATTGGGGGGGCTGCAGGGCTGCACTGGGGGGCTGCAGGGCTGCATTGGGGACAGCAGGGCTGCACTGGGGGCAGCAGGGCTGCACTGAGGGGGCTGCAGGGCTGCATTGGGGACAGCAGGGCTGCACTGGGGGGACAGCAGGGCTGCACTGGGGGACAGCAGGGCTGCATTGGGGGGGCTGCAGGGCTGCACTGGGGGCTGCAGGGCTGCACTGAGGGGGCTGCAGGGCTGCATTGGGGGACAGCAGGGCTGCATTGGGGGACAGCAGGGCTGCATTGGGGGGGCTGCAGGGCTGCATTGGGGGACAGCAGGGCTGCACTGGGGGACAGCAGGGCTGCACTGGGGGGGCTGCAGGGCTGCACTGGGGACAGCAGGGCTGCACTGGGGGACAGCAGGGCTGCACTGGGGGCTGCAGGGCTGCACTGAGGGGGCTGCAGGGCTGCATTGGGGACAGCAGGGCTGCACTGGGGGACAGCAGGGCTGCACTGGGGGGGCTGCAGGGCTGCACTGGGGACAGCAGGGCTGCATTGGGGACAGCAGGGCTGCACTGGGGGGACAGCAGGGCTGCACTGGGGGACAGCAGGGCTGCACTGGGGGGGCTGCAGGGCTGCATTGGGGGACAGCAGGGCTGCACTGGGGGGGCTGCAGGGCTGCATTGGGGGACAGCAGGGCTGCACTGAGGGGGCTGCAGGGCTGCACTGGGGGACAGCAGGGCTGCACTGAGGGGGCTGCAGGGCTGCATTGGGGGGGCTGCAGGGCTGCATTGGGGGACAGCAGGGCTGCACTGGGGGCTGCAGGGCTGCACTGGGGGCTGCAGGGCTGCACTGGGGGGTCAGAGCCCAGCACAAACCCTCAGGGCTCTGCTGCCTTGTGTCCCCCAGAACTTTGAGGTGAAGGCCGATGACCTGGAGCCCATCTCGGAGCTGGGCCGGGGCGCGTACGGCGTGGTGGAGAAGATGCGGCACATGCCCAGCGGGCAGATCATGGCAGTGAAGGTACCCTGAGCTGGGGCATTCTGCCCTTCTGGGGGCTGGGGTGATGGGCAAGATGAACCAGGAAAGCCTTATCAATATGATTGTCTGGCAGAAGATTTTGAGAATGTGGAAACTATAAGCGAGATTGAAATGAAAGCAAGCTTTGAGATCCCTCAGTTACTGAACAACTGGAAAACAATGGCATGGCCAGCTGAAGGTGATCCCCTTTTGATGGAACAACACCCTCTGCTTGCAGACAGGCCCAAGGGTCAGAGCAGACCCTACAGCTTGGCAGAAGGGGCCCAAAGAGGAGTTTTTAGGGTTTAAAATGTAACACAGTGTGGTAATGGAATGATTATTACAGGCTGTATGTAAATGCTGTAGGATTTGTATCTTGGACTAGAGTGGTTAGTGAGAATTGGAATATTCAACACAGAAGAAGATTTATTGTATTGTAGCAGGAACCTCGCTTACCCTCTCATCCTCCCTGCCCCTCTCTTCTGTCAGTCCTGCTCTGAGCTGTGCTGGCAGCTCCCAGCAGGGCCCTGCAGTTGGCCCTTTGCAATAAACCCCCAGTTCCACAACCAGAAGAAGATTTATTGTAACAGGAACCTCGTTCTCTCATCCTCTTTACCACTCTCTCTCCCTCTCTCTTTACTGCTCTGGGCTGTGCCTGGCAGCTCCCAGCAGGTCCCTGCACCCAGGCCCTTTGCAATAAATCCCAAATTCCACGACCTGGCTGCAGAGATCTCTCATCTCCGTCCATCCTGACCATCCTAGATATAGAAAAAAAGTAGCTACAAAGGTGAACAAGGAGTTTAGAATGCAGTACTGTAGGCTGGTGTCTCATAACATGATTGGCTAAGAAAGCTCACACTGCAGCATGAGTCCATAAGACAAAATATTGAAGGATTGGGTCAATATTGTATTTGCAGGGACCCTCATGGCAGGAAGGGATCATTAATCTGACTTTATGTTCTGAGAAGGTTAATTTGTTATTTTATGATCTATATTATATTAAAGAATACTAAACTGAACTATACTAAAGAACACAGAAAGGATACAGACAGAAGGCTAAAAAGATAATAATGAAAACTCCTGACTCTCTCCGGAGTCCTGATACAGCTTGGCCCTGATTGGCCAAAGAGTGAAAACAACTCACAGCAGAATGCAATGGAACAATCACCTGTGGGTAAACAATCTCCAAACACATTCCAAAGCAGCAAAACAGAGGAAAATCAAATGAGATAAGAATTGTTTTCCTTTTGCTCTGAGGAGTTTCCCAGGATAAAAATCCTGGGTGAAGGGATTTTTCAGAAAACGTGAATGTGACAGATCAAAGCCATAAACATCCTTGTGAACACCTGATGGGTGCTGGGCTGGGGACGTGCCTGTGACAAAGTGGTGGCAGAGGGGCGGCACAAGGGGTGCTGGGGGTGCTCAGGTGTGGTGCCAGGCCCTGGGGCAGCCAGCCTGAGCTGCTGTTAATAATTGTTATAATTAACATTCCTGCAGCGCATCCGAGCCACGGTGAACAGCCAGGAGCAGAAGAGGCTGCTGATGGACCTGGACATCTCCATGAGGACAGTGGATTGTCCCTTCACTGTCACCTTTTACGGGGCGCTCTTCAGAGAGGTGAGGCTTCCTGGGGCTCAATTCCCACTTCTCTGCACTTCCTGCAGCTGCCAGGGGTTTAATCTCCACCTAGACATGGAGGTTTTAGTCCTGGCCTAAGGATGTGGCACTGTGGTTTTGGGACAGCCTGGTCCCGTAGTGTTAAAATTGCCCTGGCTTGGTTTCGTCCACGTGAAAAGGAGGATTTATTGAAGAGCTTGAAGCACAGCTCTGCAGAGCTGAACTTTTCCTGGCTGGGCATTGGGAGCCTCAGTTCCTGATAATTTTCTGGGCTCCTAAATCACCGTGGCTCTGCTTTGGGAAGGGGATGCCCTAAATGGTAGGGAATGTGCACAGCAGCACTGAATTCCAGAGCAGGGAAAAGAGAGCCCAGGACAGCTTTGAATGGGTTTAAAAAAAACAAAAAAAGGGAAAGAGGAAAAGGGAAAGGGGAAGGGAATTTCAAGGAAAGGAAAGGAAATTTCAAGGAAAGGGAAAGGAAAGGAAAGGAAAGATGTTTTGTTCAAATCTCTGGGTATCTGCTTGCTTTACTTTGCAGGGAGATGTGTGGATTTGCATGGAGCTCATGGATACCTCACTGGACAAATTCTACAAACACGTCATTGACAAAGGCCTGACGATCCCCGAGGACATCCTGGGGAAAATCGCAGTCTCTGTGAGTAGCAGCAGGGTGAGGAGGGCAGGGAAAGGGGTTTCTCCTCCAAGCCAGGCCCTGCCTGAGCTGAGCTCCCTGCTCTGTGGGCACCAGGAGGAGGCTGGTCCATGTGCCAGCCCATGTGGCCATTCCCATGCCTGGTCTGATGTTATTTATAAGCCATAAATGTGCTCATCCACACACATGATGGAGAGCTGAACCAATGTGAGATTTGGGGGAGCTCCTGCAGCTCCTTCATGGTTTACAAGCCATGAATGTACCGATCTACACAAATAATGGAGAGCTGGCCCACTGTGAGGTTTGGGGGAGTTCCTGCAGCTCCTTTATGGTTTATAAGCCATAAATGTGCCCGGTGTGAGGTGTGGGGAGGCTCCTGCAGCTCTGAATGTGCCCATCCACACACATGTTGGAGGTTTATAATCCATAAATGTGCCCATCCACACATGTGATGGAGAGCTGGCCCAGTGTGAGATTTGGGGGAGCTCCTGCAGCTCCTTTATGGTTTACAAGCCATGAATGTGCCCAGTGTGAGGTTTGGGGAGGCTCCTGCAGCTCTGAATGTGCCCATCCACACACAGGATGGAGAGCTGGCCCAGTGTGAGGTTTGGGGAAGCTCCTGCAGCTCCTTCATGGTTTATAATCCATATTTGTACCCATGTACATACATGATGGAGGTTTATAATCCATAAATGTGCCCATCCACACACAGGATGGAGAGCTGTGCCAGTGTGAGGTTTGGGGAAGCTCCTGCAACTCCTTCATGGTTTATAATCCATATTTGTACCCATGTACATACATGATGGAGGTTTATAATCCATAAATGTGCCCATCCACACACAGGATGGAGAGCTGTGCCAGTGTGAGGTTTGGGGAAGCTCCTGCAACTCCTTCATGGTTTTTAATCCATAAATGTGCCCAGTGTGAGGTGTGGGGAGGCTCCTGCAGCTCCTTTCCCTTCTCACTGAGGTCCTGGAGCCCTCAGGAAGATCCTGGGCACCCACCAACCCTCAGGCTGCTGGCAGGGTGCAGGACTCCTGGGGGATGTGGTTTTCCTGCCCTCCTGGCAGGCCTGGGGGTGAAGCCAGGTATCATTTCCTCCTCCTCGTGGTGCTGCCAGCTGGGACTGACTCTGGGTTTGTTGTTTCAGATTGTAAAAGCACTAGAACATCTCCACAGCAAGCTCTCTGTGATCCACCGAGGTGAGTGCCAGGCACAGCCTGCCCTGCTCTCAGCCTGGCAAGGGCTCCCAAAATACCCCAGATAAAGTCAGCTTCTGACAGCAGAAATGCTCCCCAGCATCTCATGACTGCAGCAAAACCCAGGCAGAGGAATGGCTGCTGTTTGCTCCTTAAAATCTGCCTGCTGCTCCCAGTGTTTCCCTGAGGGGAGGAGGAAGGGCTGTTTCCCTAAAGCCATGACTAAACCCTCTACCCATGGTGTGCTCCATCACCTGGGTGAAATTCAGCCTTTTTCCCTGGCCTTGGAAAGCCTTGGAGCAGGCTGTGCCCAGGTTTGTGCCCCTTCTCCATGGCTCTGTGCTGGTGTTCAGTGGGAGGGGACAAAACACCCCAGACAGAGTGAGCCTTTGACAGCAGAAATGCTCCCCAGCATCTCATGACTTCAGCAAAACCCAGGCAGAGGAGTGGCTGCTGTTTGCTCCTTAAAATTTGCCTGCTGCTCCCAGTGTTTCCCTGAGGGGAGGAGGAAGGGCTGTTTAAACCCTAAAGCCATGGTGTGCTCCATCACCTGGGTGAAATTCAGGGCCTTTTTCCCTGAATTTCCTTGGAAAGCCTTGGAGCAGGCTGTGCCCAGGTTTGTGCCCCAGCTCCAAGGTTCTGTGCACTGGGAGGGGATGTTGGAGGCCTGGTTACTGCTGGGAATTTGAGATTTTCTGTGCTGCCAGGCTCTGACCCCCAGGAGAAAACTGCATTGATGTGAGGCCTTGGAGAAGGCTTCCAAAATTAAATTATAGCACTGGGATTGTGGGTGTGGAGTTTGAATAGAAGTGTGTAACATCACAGGGTGGAAAATTAGAGTTTAAGCTTTTAGAATATAGTAATATATAGAAAGTTTTATATATATAAGTGTGTAAGTTTTATATATAAAACTCCACAAGGGATCTCCCTGCCAGCCTCATCCTCCCATCCTCACCCCTTCCATGAGCTTCCCTTTGCAGCAGAGCAGTCTGACACCTAAACCAGCCTCAAATCAAATCAGAAATCCCCTCCTTAAACCCTTCTTATGCTTTCCCCTCTGGAGGGTCTCAAAGCTGCTGTGCACACTCTCAGAAACAAACCTGCAGTGGCTGCTTGACACCTTTATTTTTAAAGGGTCCTTTTCAATTTGTCCTGAGGAGGAAGGACAGAGTGCCTGGGAAGCAGCAGAGTTCAGCTGGAGCTGGCAGTGGCACTGCCTCTGTTCTTCCTGGGGCTGGGGCAGAGTTTCTGCCTTCTGTCTCACTCCCAGGAGGTGGAAATCCCTCTTGGCTGCTGGGTTTCTGTGTGCACTGGTTTGATTTCCAGAGAAAATTGTCTTATTTCAGCCTAGTGACAGATGGGTGGGGATTTTGGATACCTGATTGCAGGATGCTGATTAGAGAGCAGATGTTAACGAGCTGTAAAGCCACAATTCTAATAAGCAGGGCTCAAACACAGCTCCTGGCATCCTTCAAAGGGTGTTGCAGCTCTTCCATTGAATTCTTTATCATGTGGAGACACAGGATCTTCAGGACAGATCTTCAGGATCTTTTGCTCCCTTTGGAGCATCCCAGAGAAAGCAGGGTCACCTGTGCTGGGATTCCATTTGGGATTGGCCTCAGAGAGAGCTCCCTGCTCTGCAGGAGAACACCTCTGTGCTCCCCTGGCTGTCACCTCCTGCCAGCTCTGGGTGCCTCAGTTCCCCTTTTGCTGGGGATTGGAGCTGCCCTCAGGAGCCTGAGCACGCAGGGATTTGTGTGGCCACGATGGGAAGAGACAAATCTGGCAGCAACAGGGAGAGGAGACTCTGGCCTGATGTCCATGGGGTGGGAGCTCCCACTCTCCTGCTGCTGCTCACGCTGCAGTCAGGCTTTGTGTCCTTAAAACCAGAGCCCAAAGGTGTCTGAGCCTTTGATCCTTGTCTCAGTTTGCTGCTCTCTCCTTCCCCTGCAGCCCTTTCACCCTTTCCTGCCCCACATCCTTCCCCCGTGGGTTTTTCCTTTTGCTGGCACGACTGCAGACCTACAGGGCATTGCCAGAGCTCCAGCCCTTTGCAGACACCCCATGGAATCACCCCACAGGATCACCCCACAGGATCACCCTACAGGATCACCCATAGGATCACCCTACAGGATCACCTCACAGGACCAGCCCATAGGTTCATCCCACAGAATTACCCCATAGAATTACCCCACAGAATTACCCTATAGAATGACCCCATGGGATCACCCCATAGAATCACTGCACAGAATCACCCCTATGATCACCCTATAGAATCACTCCATAGAATCATTGCACAGGATCACCCCAGAGGATCATCCCACAGAATTACCCCATAGAATCACCCACAGGATCACCCCACAGGATCACCCCATAGAATCACTGCATAGAATCACCCCTATGATCACCCCACAGAAACACCCATAGAGTCACCCCCCAGGATCACCTCACAGAATTACCCTATAGAATGACCCCACAGGATCACCCCATAGAATCACTGCACAGAATCACTCCTGTGATCACCCTATAGAACCACCCCGCCCAGCCCCTTGGAGCTGCTCCCTGTGAGCTCCCTGCTGTCCGTGACCATTCCCCGAGCACTGGGATGTGCTGGTGGCACTCAGAGTCACCTCCTGCTGCCCTGGCTCAGGGATGGGGTGTGTGGGTGCAGGGACACTGCCAGGATGCTGCCAGCCCCACGGGGGCTGCCCTGGCTCAGGGATGGGGTGTGTGGGTGCAGGGACACTGCCAGGACACTGCCAGCCCCACGGGGCTGTCACTGCACACCCCACAGCACAGCCAGTGGCTTTTGGCACGCCTGGCCCTGCTGGGCCCTGCTGGGCTCCTCGTGCCCTCTGTGGCTGCTGTGCCTTGGCCCAGCACCCCCAGGTGACAGTGACTGTGCTCTGTGTTCCTTCTTGCAGATGTAAAGCCCTCTAACGTGTTGATCAATACGCAGGGGCAGGTGAAAATGTGCGATTTTGGGATCAGCGGGTACCTCGTTGACTCTGTGGCTAAAACCATGGATGCAGGATGCAAACCCTACATGGCTGTAAGTGCAGCAGCTGCCTGAGGAGCAGCCAGAGGAGCAGGAGCCTGGGGGGAAGGAGCAGCAGCACCTACCCTGGGGATGCCTTTGGGGAGCCTGTGTTTGTGTTTTCAGGGAGCCCTGTGGCAGGGAGGAGTGATGAATCTGACTCCATGTGCTCAGAAGGCTCATTCATTATTTTATAATACTATAATATATTAAAGAATCCTATACTAAAGAATACAGAAAGGATACAGACAGAATGCTAAAAAGATAATAATGAAAACTCGTGACTCTCTCCAGAGTCCTGACACAGCTGGGCCCTGATTGGCCAAAGAGTGAAAACAACTCACAGCAGAATGCAAGGGAACAATCACCTGTGGGTAAACAATCTCCAAACACATTCCAAAGCAGCAAAACACAGGAGAAGCAATCAGATAATTATTGTTTTCCTTTTTCTCTGAGGCTTCTCAGCTTCCCAGGAGAAGAATGCTGGGTGAGGGGATTTTTCCAGAAAGTGTGAATGCCACAGTAGCCCTGAATTCAAGGGATACAATTCCCTTGGGAGGGGAGGCAGATGTGATCTGATGGCTCATGGCTCAGGTCACATCTCCTGGGCATGCCCTCCTGCTGCCCTCTGGCCTGCCTGTGGCCTTGGGGAAGGTTCTGGAATTGCTCCCCAGTGCCTGGTGGCCATTTGCCCTGTGGGGACAGCAGTGCTTAGCATGGGGAGGAAAAACACCCAGGGCTGGGTGCCTTGGGCTGCTCCTGGGAGCTGCTGTGCAGGATTCACCCTTTGTGGGGCCCTTGACCTCAGCAGAGCTGAGGTTTGGCAGCCCTTGGTGCCAGCTGTGCAGGGCAGCTCCACCAGCCCAGCCCTCAGTGCCAGCTGTGCCAGGGCAGCTCCACCAGCCCAGCCCTCGGTGCCAGCTGTGCCAGGGCAGCTCCACCAGCCCAGCCCTCGGTGCCAGCTGTGCCAGGGCAGCTCCACCAGCCCAGCCCTTGGTGCCAGCTGTGCCAGGGCAGCTCCACCAGCCCAGCCCTCGGTGCCAGATGTGCCACTTTCTGTGCCCCATTTCACTGCCTGCCCTCCCTGTGAGGATGGGAACCAGCACCACCAGGAGGGTGAAGGGGCTGTGTGGGCCAAGGGGGCTGGGCTGGCACCTGAGAGACCCTCCCTGGGCATGGGCAGGGCACTGGGGACATCCCTGCTGCTCCTCACCCCCCTTTGTGTCTGTTGGCAGCCGGAGAGAATCAACCCAGAGCTGAACCAGAAGGGATACAGCGTCAAATCTGACATCTGGAGCCTGGGCATCACCATGGTACGGTCACCTGGGGGTCACCTGGGGGTCGCCTGGGGGTCACCAGGGTCACCTGGGGCTGCCATCACCATGGCAGGGTCACCTGGGGGTCACCAGGGTCACCTGGGGATCACCAGGGTCACCTGGGGGCTGCCACTGCTGTCACCTGAGGATCATCATGGTAGAGTCACCTGGGGCTGCAAGGGCTGTCACCAGGGGATCACCAGGGTCATCTGGGGCTGCCAGGGTCACCTGGGGCTGCCATCACCATGGCAGGGTCACTTGGGGATCACCAGGGTCACCTGGGGCTGCCAGGGCTGTCACCTGGGGATCACCATGGTAGAGTCACTTAGGGCTGCCAGGGCTGTCACCTGGGCATCACCAGGGTCACCTGGGGCTGCAAGGGCTGTCACCTGGGGATCACCATGGTTGGGTCACCTGGGGCTGCCAGGGCCACCAGGAGTGCTCAGTGTGGCTCATGGGTTCATTCTCATGCCCACAGCAGCACTGGTGGCCCAGAGTGGCAGGGGAGGAGCTCAGGCAGGTGGCACAGGGTGGAAGGGAGGAGCTCAGGCAGGTGGCACAGGGTGAGAATGGAGGAGCTCAGGCAGGTGGCACAGGGTGGAAGGGGAGGAGCTCAGGCAGGTGGCCCAGGGTGAGAAGGGGAGGAGCTCAGGCAGGTGGCACAGGGTGAGAAGGGAAGGAGCTCAGGCAGGTGGCACAGGGTGAGAAGGGGAGGAGCTCAGGCAGGTGGCACAGGGTGAGAAGGGGAGGAGCTCAGGCAGGTGGCACAGGCTGGAATGGGAGGAGCTCAGGTGGGTGGCACAGGCTGGAATGGGAGGAGCTCAGGTGGGTGGCACAGGGTGGAGGGGAGGAGCTCAGGCAGGTGGCACAGGGTGAGAAGGGGAGGAGCTCAGGCAGGTGGCACAGGGTGAGAAGGGAGGAGCTCAGGCAGGTGGCACAGGGTGGAGGGGAGGAGCTCAGGGAGGTGGCACAGGGTGGCAGGGAAGGAGCTCAGGCAGGTGGCACAGGCTGGAATGGAAGGAGCTCAGGCAGGTGGCCCGGGCTGGAGGGGAAGGAGCTCAGGCAGGTGGCCCGGGCTGGAATGGGAGGAGCTCAGGCAGGTGGCCCGGGCTGGAGGGAAGGAGCAGGAGGGAGGAGCCGCGGTGTCAGCCCTGCAGCCGCGGAGCTGCCGGGAGGTGGCAGCATGGGCTAAGGCAGGATGGCTGCACTCCCTGCACTCCCTGCGCTCACAGAGGGAGCAGGGACGGGGGGGATCCCAGGCAGTGTTTTGGGGAACCCATCTGCTCCCAAAGCCCAGTTTGCTGTGCAGGGTGGGGCTGGTCGAGCTGGCAGCCTTTCCCAGGAATTGTGGCAGGGGTGACAGGGCTGGCCTGTGGAGCTGCCTGGGGTTCCTCCTGTTTGCTGGGGGGGATGAGCAATGTGCTGAGGAAATCATGGAATCCCACGATGGTTTGGGCTGGAAGGGGCCTTAAAGATCATCCCATTCCACCCCCTGTCATGGACAGCAACAGCTTCTACTACCCCAGGCTGCTCCAAGTCCTGTCCAGCCTGGCCTTGGGCACTTCCAGAGATCCAGGGGCAGCCACAGCTGCTCTGGGCACCTGTGCCTCACCACCCTCACAGGAAACAACCCCCTCCTAATATTTTCTGCTCCCCTTCTGATCTAGATCTCTCTTCTTTTAGTTCCAAACCAGTCCCCCTTGCTCCATCACTGTTTGCCCATGTAAAATGTCCCTCTCCCACCTTTCTGGAATTCCCCTTTAGGCACTGCAAGGGGCTCTAAAATCTCCTTGGAACATTCCCATCTCCAGGCTGAACAACCCCATTTGTGTGGAGCCACAAAACCACACCCAGGGTGGGCATGGAGCCATCCCAAACCCCTGCAGTGGGTGGCTGTGCGGTGTCCCCCTCCTGACAGAGCAATCCCAAACCCCTGGGGTGGGTGGGTAGCTGTGAGGTGTCCCCCTCCTGACAGAGCCATTCCAAACCTGTGGGGTGAGTGCCTGTGGGGTGTACCAGGGGCTCTAAGCTCTCCTTGGTACATTCCCATCTTCAGGCTGACCAACCCCATTTGTGTGGAGCCACAAAACCACACCCAGGGTGGGCACAGGGCCATCCCAAACCCCTGGGGTGAGTGGCTGTGGGGTGTGCAAGGGGCTCCAAGATCTCCTTGCAACGTTCCCATCTCCAGGCTGACCAACCCCATTTGTGTGGAGCTACAAAACCACACCCAGGGTGGGCATGGAGCCATCCCAAACTCCTGGGGTGGCTGTGGGGGTGTGTCCCCTCCTGATGGGGCTGTCCCAAGCCTGTGGGGTGGCTGTGGGGTGTGCAAGGGGCTCCAAGATCTCCTTGCAACGTTCCCATCTCCAGGCTGAACAACCCCATTTATGTGGAGCCACAAAACCCAGGGTGGGCATGGAGCCATCCCAAACCCCTGGGGTGGCTGTGGGGTGTCCCCTCCTGATGGGGCCATCCCAAGCCCATGGATTGGTGGGTGGCTGTGGGGTGTCCCCCTCCTGACAGAGCCATCCCAAACCTGTGGGGTGAGTGGCTGTGGGGTGTACCAGGGGCTCTAAAATCTCCTTGGTACATTCCCATCTCCAGGTTGAACAACCCCATTTGTGTGGAGCCACAAACCCTCCAGGGTGGGCATGGGGCCGTCTCACACCCCTGGGTCAGGGGCTGTGGGGTGTCCCCTCTCCTGACAGGGCCATCCCAAACCCCTGGGCTGGTGGCAGGGGCATGTCCCCTGTCCTGACAGGGCCATCCCAGGTCCCTGGGCTGGTGGCAGGGGTGTCCCCTCCTGAGTGCCCTGTGTGTTGCAGATCGAGCTGGCCATCCTGCGCTTCCCCTACGACTCCTGGGGCACCCCCTTCCAGCAGCTCAAGCAGGTGGTGGAGGAGCCCTCACCACAGCTCCCAGCAGAGAGGTTCTCAGCAGAGTTCGTCGATTTTACCTCGCAATGGTAACAATTCCCCTCTTCCCCCTCTCTTTGCTTGGCCCTGCTCACCCTCAGCACGTCCCCACAGGCAGCTCTGAGCCCCAGTTCTGGGCAGAACCTTCCCTGTGCCCTCGTGCCTGGCACACAGCAGTGTGGGGAGTCTGTCTGAGGGGGTTTGGGAGGGGCACAGGGGGTTCAGGAGGGGGCACAGGGGGTTCAGGAGGGGGCACAGGGGGTTCAGGAGGGGACACAGGGGGTTCAGGAGGGAGCACAGGGGGTTCAGGAGGGGCACAGGGGGGTTCAGGAGGGAGCACAGGGGGTTCAGGAGGGGCACAGGGGGTTCAGGAGGGACAGAGGGGGGTTAGGAGGGGGCACAGGGGGGTTCAGGAGGGAGCACAGGGGGTTCAGGAGGGGCACAGGGGGTTCAGGAGGGACACAGGGGGTTCAGGAGGGGGCACAGGGGGGTTCAGGAGGGAGCACAGGGGGTTCAGGAGGGGCACAGGGGGTTCAGGAGGGGCACAGGGGGTTTGGGAGGGGCACAGGGGGGTTCAGGAGGGAGCACAGGGGGTTCAGGAGGGGCACAGGGGGTTCAGGAGGGAGCACAGGGGGTTCAGGAGGGACACAGGGGGTTCAGGAGGGGGCACAGGGGGGTTCAGGAGGGAGCACAGGGGGTTCAGGAGGGAGCACAGGGGGTTCAGGAGGCTTCTGGCTCTGAGTGTGGAGGGACAGCAGGGTGTGGAATGGCTGTGTCCTGTCTGGGGGGATGTCACAGGAGGGACAGCCACAATACACAGAGTGCCAACATACAACTTCAGAAAGCTTCAACCCATGCAGAGAAACACCAGAAGGCTTCAAGCATCCTTGTTGTTGTTTAGCCCAACCTTTTGCACCCCTGATGTTCCTGCACTGCCCCTGTGTGCCTCTGCTCCCTTGGGTGGTTGCTCAGCACACCTGGGCACTCCATGGCTCATTGCTGTCAGTGCTGCTCACCTGCTGCTCACAGCTGCACCCACTGGGGATGAGGCTGGGCCACAGCCCCACTGCCAATGACCCCAAACTGTGCCACACACAGCCCAGTGACCCCAAACTGTGCCACGCACAGCCCAGTGACCCCAAACTGTGCCCCACACAGCCCAGTGACCCCAAACTGTGCCCCACACAGCCCAGTGACCCCAAACTGTGCCACACACACAGCCCAGTGACCCCAAACTGTGCCACACACAGCCCCATCCCAATGACCCCAAACTGTGCCACACACAGCACAGTGACCCCAAACTGTGCCATGCACAGCCCAGTGACCCCAAACTGTGTCACACACAGCCCCATCCCAATGACCCCAAACTGTGCCACACACAGCCCCAATGACCCCAAACTGTGCCACACACAGCCCCAGCCCCAATTAGCACAGTGTGGCACACACAGCCCCATCCCAATGACCCCAAACTGTGCCACGCACAGCCCCAGCCCCAATTAGCACAGTGTGGCACACACAGCCCCATCCCAATTATCACAAGCTGTGTGCACAGCCCCATCCCCATCCCCCCAGACTGTGTTCCTGCAGGGACACAGCTCTGAGGGCAGGTTTTGCCCCGTGCTGGCCCCCTCTGCCCAGTCTCTGTCCCTCTCTTCATGCCCTGGGGCTGCTGCTGTGCTTTCCCCAGCCCTGGCAGTAGCAGGAGGAGGATTTGGCTGTGCTGTAGGACAGGGCTGGAGCAGCCCTGCACAGGGAACTCAGCCCCTGCCCTCAGTGTGGCTCCCTGCAGGGCTGGGTGTTCCAGGAAAGCCCCAAAATGCCACCCAGCCCAGTGCCAGGCTGTGCCACAAAGGATGGCAGATGGACAAACAGAAATGTGAGACTGTTGTGAGCTGCCAGCACCAGGGCCAGGGCTCTGCTGTGCCCCAGGGAGGAGCTGTCAGCTGCTGCTGCCTGGGGACTCTCAGTACCCATGTTTAGATTCTTCAGAGTCGTGTTCCAGCCTGTTTCCATGTCCCTGAGCCCAGCTGCTCAGCTCCTGCCCCACGCTGGGACCGTGCTCACGGGGCTCTGAGGATGAGGGAAGAGATGAGGATCTGACTCCGTGTTTCAGAAGGCTTGGTTTATTATTTTATGATATATATTATATTAAAACTATACTAAAAGAATAGAAGAAAGGGTTTCAGCAGAAGACTGGCTAAGAATAGAATAGCAAAGAATGATAACAAAGGCTTGTGGCTCAGACAGAGAGTCTGAGCCAGCTGGGCTGTGATTGGCCATTAATTAGAAACAACCACATGAGACCAATCCCAGATGCACCTGTTGCATTCCACAGCAGCAGATAACCATTGGTTACATTTTGTTCCTGAGGCCTCTCAGCTTCTCAGGAGCAGAAATCCTAAGGAAAGGATTTTTCATGAAAGATGTCTGTGACACCACGCTGGGGACACCTGCCCTGCCCACTGTGCCCTGGCTCTGGGGGAGCTGCCTTGGAAAATCCCTCCCACAAGGTGCCCCCCGTTCTTGCCAAGCCCACGCTGAGGATTTGGAGCAGCTGCTGTTCCTCCAGCAGTGCTGCTGGCTCTGCTGCTTCCCTGTTGTGCCAGGCAGGCTGCTCCTCTCTGGGGATTTGCTTCTCCAAGCTCTGTGTCCTGCAGCTCGGGCTGTGGCTGCTTTAGGATTTACATCCACAGCCACTCTGGTGATTCCTGTCTTTGCAAATCCTGTCCTTCAGGATCACTGGAGATCCCTCACTGCCAGCAGAGTGGCATGGGCTTGGAATGGTGAACTTGGCACCAGTTCTGTGTTGTTGGGGTCTGGGAATTTCTTCTGACACCAAACCAGGTCACAGCCACTCTGTATCAAGGCTGGCTTAGGACTGTGTTTATCCATCTGCTGCTGCCTGAAGTCTGATCAGCTGTAGGCACTGCAGGAAGGTCCTGGGATATCTGAGTCAGGATCACATCCCAGTATAACTCTTCATTCCTGAAAATTTACATCGATTTCAGTAACTTATCCACAGCCACTCTGGTGATTCCTGTCTTTGCAAATCCTGTCCTTCAGGGTCACTGGAGATCCCTCACTGCCAGCAGAGTGGCATGGGCTTGGAATGGTGAACTTGGCACCAGTTTTGTGCAAAGGGCTTGGAATGGTGAACTTGGCACCAGTTTTGTGCAGAGGGCTTGGAATGGTGAACTTGGCACCAGTTTTGTGCAAAGGGCTTGGAATGGTGAACTTTGCACCAGTTCTGTGTTACTGGGGTCTGGGAATTCCTTGTGACACCAAAGCAGGTCACAGTCACTCTGCATCAAGGCTGGCTTAGGACTGTGTTTATCCATCTGCTGCAGCCTGATGTCTGATCAGCTGTAGGCACTGCAGGAAGGTCCTGGGATATCTGAGTCAGGATCACATCCCAGTATAACTCTTCATTCCTGAAAATTTACATTGATTTCAGTAACTTATCCAGAGCCACTCTGGTGATTCCTGTCTTTGCAAATCCTGTCCTTCAGGATCACTGGAGATCCCTCACTGCCAGCAGAGTGGCATGGGCTTGGAATGGTGAACTTGGCACCAGTTCTGTGCAAAGGACTTGGAATGGTGAACTTGGCACCAGTTCTGTGCAAAGGACTTGGAATGGTGAACTTTGCACCAGTTCTGTGTTGTTGGGGTCTGGGAATTCCTTCTGACACCAAAGCAGGTCACAGCCACTCTGTATCAAGGCTGGCTTAGGACTGTGTTTATTCATGTTCTGCCTGAAGTCTGATCAGCTGTAGGCACTGCAGGAAGGCCCTGGGATATCTGAGTCAGGATCACATCCCAGTATAACTCTTCATTCCTGAAAATTTACATCGATTTCAGTAACTTACCACCAGATTTCCTGCTATTAGTGACCTGGGCATGAATTGGTTTTGTAGAGGGTCTAAATTAAGAGAATTGCACCAAATCTGGACACAGCTAACCTTCAAATTCACCTTGTCTTGGCTGGGGCTGCTCCTGAGCTGGGAGGATGTGACACATCCCGAACCTTCGGGCCGGCGATATTGGCACGTACGGGCCCCGGGTTCCTCTGTTCATTCACAACATGACACTAAACACGAGCCTTCTACACACAGCAAGCAGGAAATATCTATTCAGTGTGTGTCCTCTGCTTCCTCTGGGCCCCAGCAAATCCTAGCAGAGGTTCTCACTTTTGTTTTGCTCAGTGTGACACCTTTTCCCCGCCACCGCCGCGTACGTGTGCGAAGATCTTTTCAAGTTGCTCCAAGTTTCTTTCCCCTAAATACACTGCCAGGAAGTGAGTAGAGATTACGTCCTGTCTTTTAAAAAGCTATTTTCTGCTGGAGGGAAACCAAAATAACTTCCAGCTACAACCCTCCAGGGCCATCTGTTGTAGGAGAGGAGAAAAAAAGGATGTCCCATGGAAGCGTCCCCGCTGATAACGGCACGGTGATAAACAAACAGCTGGGCACGTGCTCTGCAGCCACTCAGTCACTGCTCCCAGGCACAGCTCAGAGCCTCAGTCCTTCCCTGAGTCACTGGCCTGCTGGAGAGCACCCAAACTCCCAGTTGTGCCTGGCCCCCAGCAAGAGGCAGCGTTTTGAGTGGTGGTTTTGGTGGCTCCAGGTCTCTCGGTGGACCTTGAGCTTTTTTACCCAGCACTGTCCCTGTCCTCAAGGCCTAAATTGTTTCCTCAGCATGGAGAAGTAGCTGAACTTGTTCTGCAGAGTCTTTAAACCTTACTTTGTTGTAGGAGAGCACAGTCTTTAAACTTTACTTTGTTGTAGGAGAGGAGAAAAAAAGGATAAGGATGTCCCATGGAAGCGTCCCCGCTGATAACAGCACAGTGATAAACAAACAGCTGGGCACGTGCTCTGCAGCCACTCAGTCACTGCTCCCAGGCACAGCTCAGAGCCTCAGTCCTTCCCTGAGTCACTGGCCTGCTGGAGAGCACCCAAACTCCCAGTTGTGCCTGGCCCCCAGCAAGAGGCAGCGTTTTGAGTGGTGGTTTTGGTGGCTCCAGGTCTCTCGGTGGACCTTGAGCTCTTGTACCCAGCACTGTCCCTGTCCTCAACCTCTAAATTGTTTCCTCAGCATGGAGAAGTAGCTGAACTTTTGTTCTGCAGAGTCTTTAAACCCTAATTTGGTCATGGTGTTATCTTATTGCAGACAGAATGTCAATTCTAATTTTGTTTTTTTTCTCCCCAATTAAAGCTTGAAGAAGAATTCCAAAGAACGGCCAACATACCCAGAGCTTATGGTGAGTGTGGCTGCATCAAGCAGTGTGTTCAGAGCTGGAAAGGGTCACAGTGAGGTGCTGAAGGCAGAGATTCCAATACTGATGGGGTTTTGGGCTGCTTTGCATCTCTTTTTTCACACCAGATGGGAGAATTGTGACATTGGGAGGGTGGCTGCAAAGCAGAGATGCTCTTTGAAATCTCAGCCAGCTGCTTTTCCACCTTTTTTGGAAATCAAGGGAGAAAATACATGTTAAAGCAGGTCATGGACAAGAATGAGGCTGTGAAGAATCAACTGGTGAGGCTCAAATCCTTCTGTGGGGTTTGTGTGATCAACTCCAGCTCCTCAGTGTGCCCCAGGTGCTCCACAGCAGCTGCAGGAGCCCGGTGGCCAGCGGGGCTTTGCTGCCCTGGTGCTTTGGAGAGGAGGATTTTGGACAGAATAATTCCTGGATGTTGGGGACAGGGATGAGTCTGTGACTAATAACTCCAGTTATTGAATTTCATCTGCTGCCTAGAGACTGTTTACTGGGAGGGATAACTGAGGAGTAACCAAGGAGGAAAATGCCAATAAAGGCTGGCGACAGGGGAAATGCAGGGCACTGCTCTGGGCTGCAGCTGGCAAGAACAGATTTTTCTGCTTGGGCTCCAGAGTTTCATGGCCTCCCCTTCTCTCCTGACTCTCTGGTATTGATCCTGGTGCTCCTAAAGGCTGGTAAAAAGCAGGAGAGCTCAGAAAGTTGATGTTTCACTCCTGCAGGCATTTAATCCTTTTTAACTCTCACACAACTCACAGCTTTCTAAAAGCAGGGAAGTGCCTAAATTTGTTATTTCTGAAGATCCCGACCCTGCATTCCCACCCCTGTCCAGTCTCAGTGTCAAGATCACCTGGATTAAGAGTGGAAAGTGCTGAGGGATTTCTTTAGGCACTCATATTCCCTACCCCACAATTTTGGGATGTGCATTCTGCCACCAGAGGGTCAGACCCATCACCACCTCACACCTCCTGCTCAGAGGGCAGAAGGGGCAGGTTTAAGGTGGTTTTTACCTGCAAGTCATGCTGGAAATCCACCACCCTGAGCTGTAAGCAGTGAATAATTCCCGTGGCATTTGGTGCTGGGCCCTGTAATGCAATTAAACTATAAATAGATCTGATTGACACACAGCTTGCCCCAGACTGGTTTCAAACAAAGAGAGGCCTGAGATTTATGGCTTTTTTTTTTAAAAAAAACCAAAACTTTATTTTTTTGGGGGCTATATCATTGAATAAATCCATCTGTATATTTTAAGCAAACTTCTGAACTTTGCCAAATGGCCTTTTATCAAGAAAGGTTCACTGAAGCAGCTCTGTCTGCTGCAGCATTAATACCCATTGGCAAGGGAGTGCATTTCTATTGAATTAGCTTCTTGGATCACCCCTGCAGAGTACCTCAATGCTGTGGTATTTTATGGCTGACATGGATGTTGTGAGGTCCTGTGGTTGAGGGTTGCTGTTCTGTTGGGGTTTTTTCCTCTCTCTCACAGCATTAAGTTGTGGTGCTGGATTGGACTTGTCATGTAGACCAAGACTGCTCCCTTGCTTTCCTGTGGGATTGAGGTTTCTCATGGAAAATGTGACTCTGTGCTATCTTGAGCATCAGGAAAGCTGATAGGGGTGCTTAATTTCATTTAAAAACCCCCTTTCCTCAGGTGAAGTGGAGCATGAAACTACTGTGGCAGTGGTGGCCTGCACAGCCTGCCTGGCACGGGGCTCTGTGCCACCTCAGGGGCATTGCTGCCACCCCTGGCACATTATCTGGGTGTTTCCAGGCTGTGCCCTGGGTGTCCCTTCAGTGGGGAAGGAGGAAAGGTTGACAGGAAAGTCTCACAGATCTGTGTGCTGGGCAGAAAGATTTTTGAATGTGGAGTCTGATGGAGGAATAGAGATGGAAGCAAGTTTTGATATAGAAGAAAAGAATTGCTGAGCCAGCCTTGCTGGATAACCAAGGAGGCAAAGGGTATTTTATGTTAGTTAGAAGGGGTTTTATGGCTTAGAGCAAAGGATAAACCCACCCCAGACAAGAAGATGTTTTTACCAAGCAGAAAGAGAGCACAGGCAAACAAGGCAGCAAATGAGGCAAGTAGAAAAAAGGTCTCAGAATTTTCCACTGCAGGAAAACTGAAAAACAACTTCTAGCTTAAACTGTAATGTAGTGACTGTTAGTGATTGAAGAACAGTGACATGAATATGGTAATTATAGGAGTTATGATGGGCCATAGAGAAAAGTTAAGGGATAGATTGGTTCTACTGCATGAAGATGCTCAGCAAAGAAAAGTATAGAATGCATTGTAACCAAAAGAAAAGTATAGAATGCATTATTACCAAAAGAAAAGTATAGAATGCAGTGTTACCAAAAGAAAAGTATAGAATGCAGTGTAACCAAAAGAAAATTATAAAATGCATTGTAACCAAAAGTATAGAATGCAGTGTTACCAAAAGAAAAGTATAGAATGCAATGTAACTAAAAGAAAAGTATAGAATGCATTGTTACCAAAAGAAAATTATAGAATGCATTGTTACCAAAAGAAAAGTATAGAATGCAATGTAACCTAAAACTGAGCTATTCCTATGTTAATAGCCATGGGCATTATGACAATTCCTAGAATTGGAAAATCTCTGCCCACCTAAGGAAAAATGTCATGGATGTTTCAGAACTAAATCCTGCTTTCAAAATTGTTGCTTGAGATTCATTTCTCCTCATGTTTTGCAGATTCTTGGTGGCTATCTTGGCTCATAGCCCTCCCAGCTGTTCTTGCACCTCCCAGACTCGCTGTGGGAGTCCTTTCATGCTCTAGAAGAACAAGTTAACAGCCTCCCCATCCCACCTCTTTACGTTTTTGCACAAGCCCAGACACCCCTGAGCTTTGATATGAAAAATCCTTGGTCCTAGCAGTGTTTCCTCCCACCTACTCTGCCACCTTTGGGACATTTTTTTTTGGTTTGCATTACTGGGCTAACATGAAGCAAAATGTGTCATTAATTATTAGGCAAGCAAAGCCATGAGGCTTCTTCTCTTTTGTAACCAAAAGAAAAGTATAAAATGCACTGTAACCAAAAGAAAAGTATAAAATGCACTGTAACCAAAACCAAAGGGTCTCCAGGCCTGCCTGCAGCTGGAGCTGACAGCTGTGGGCACAGCTCTGTCACCCACAACCCTGGAGTGCTGTAACCTCTTGGAGGGAATAAACTGCATTTTGTATACATTAAACTGCATTTTGTATACGTTAAACTGCATTTTGTATACAATAAATTGCATTTTGTATACAATAAGCTGCATTTTGGAGAGCCCCTGGAGTCCCACACCCCTCATTTAGGCTCTTAGAGGGTGTGAAAGCAGGGATGTCATGCTGGGATTATAACAAGACATTGGGGTCACCTCAGAGTTACTCAGGACACTTCAATTCCTGTGACTGTCTGACCTAGGGAGACCTCAAGTTTTGCCTGGATCTTTGCCTCAGCCCATTCCAGCCCTGTTTCCCACATAATTGTGCTTCCTCTTCCTTACTGGAGTGTCTTTGGATCACTTCCCAGCCACTCTGAGCTGCCTCATCTGTGACTTTCCACTCAAGCCCACCTTGAAAAATCTCTTTTCTTTGCTCTTCTTCTCCCTCCACTTGGCCACTGCCAGGAAACAGCCAATGCTGAGGGGCAGCTTGGAAAAACCCTGGAAACCCCAAATTACCTTTAAAAATCTGACTCGAAATGAGAGGACTGGAAATCAAACCCTTGTACAGAGCAGAGATCACTGTGAGCCCTGCAGGGCCCTGGCTGCCTTTTGGTTCCCTCTGACCCCCTCCATACAAATAAATCCAATTATCTGCCAGGACAGTGGGTGTCAAGCAGGATTTTGGGGGTTTTTAGGTGGGATCTCAGCTTGGTGTGTGTCTGAACCAACCAAACTGAATTTCTGGTCCTGGTGGAGAGGGGTTTTGTTGCTCTGGGTGGGATTGGGTTGTGTTTTTCCTCCTCACCCGTATTTTTCCATTGGTGCTGAAATGTCAGCAGGGTTTTCTGGCAGGCTGTCTCCCCATGTTGGTCAGGATGAAGGGGTTAAACACACAAGAGGGGCTGGTTTTCCAGTTGGGGTGGCTTTCCTGTGTGCAGGAGCCTCTCCTGCTCTGAGGAGAGGCAGCTCAGGGAGGAAATGAGGCTCAGGAGTCGCCAGAGGGTAAAAATACACAGACAGAGCTGAGGGAAAACCACTGCAGCCAGCAAGGTTTGCCCTGCTCCAGCTGGATGGGTACCCATGGGCTGTCTGGGCCGTGTTTTGGGGCACATGGAGAGGATTTTCTAAGCCCTTTTTCCTCCAGAGCTGCCCACTGAGCCCTGCCAGCCAGAACAGGGTCTGGGGGAATCCAGCCTGCTCCAGCTGGGTGGGTACCCATGGGCTGGAAGGTGTTTTTGGGGCACATGGAGAGGGTTTTCTAAGCCTCCCCTTCCTTCCAGAGCTGCCCACTGAGCTCTATCAGCCAGAACAGGGTTTGGGGGGAATCCAGCCTGCTCCAGCTGGATGGGTACCCATGGGCTGTCTGGAAGGTGTTTTTGGGGCACATGGAGAGGATTTTCTAAGCCTCCCCTTCCTTGCAGAGCTGCCCACTCAGCCCTGCCAGCCAGGACAGGGTTTGGGGGAATCCAGCCTGCTCCAGCTTGGGGGGGTAACCATGGGCTGGAAGGTGTTTTTGGGGCACATTGAGAAGGTTTTCTAAGCCTCCCCTTCCTTCCATAGCTGCCCACTCAGCCCTGCCAGGTGGGGCAGGGTCTGGGGGAATCCAGCCTGCTCCAGCTGGGTGGGTAACCATGGGCTGGAAGGTGTTTTGGGGCACATGGAGAGGATTTTCTAACCCTCCCCTTCCCTCCGTGGCTGTCCACTCAGCCCTGCCAGGTTGGGCAGGATTTGGGGGGAATCCAGCCTGCTCCAGCTGGGTGGGTACCCATGGGCTGGAAGGTGTTTTGGGGCACATGGAGAAGGTTTTCTAAGCCTCCCTTTTTCCTCCAGAGCTGCCCACTCAGCCCTGCCAGCCAGGGCAGGGTCTGGGGGGTATCGAGGGGGGCATCACAATTATTCCATGGAGCAGCCCTTGTGCTCCCTGATTTTCTCAGCTGTAAAAACCCAATGTTACGATGCTAAGGACAAAACCTTCTTCACTGTCTATAGAGGATTGTCTGCAAAGCTTTTATGCTCATTGTGGTGAATAATAAACTTTGCTGTTTTCCTCTCTCTTTGCTTTCCCAGCAACATCCTTTCTTCACCCTGCACGAATCCAAAGAGACAGACGTCGCCTCTTTTGTCAAGCTCATCCTGGGAGACTGAGAACTGGACTTGGAAAAGAATTGCCCTTCTGTGGACTGGTGGGTGCAGGGGAGGGGCACGTGGCAGGACTTGTCATGGAAGCACCAACAGAAAGTGTTTTGTTTTGCTTTGGTTTGGTTTTATTCTGAGAAACCCCCTCCTCGCCCGAGTTTTTTGAAAGGGTTCTTTGGTATCCATAGTGACATAGAACGAGCTGGTTAGTGGAAATGAATTTTAATAAGGTTGGTAACCTTAAAACAAAAAGAAAAACAAAACAACAACAACAGCAAAATATTTTTTTTTTGAATGAGTGATTTACATATTTAATGACAGTCGAGGTTCCTCTTCCTAACTTGCTCCTCATCCCCCTTCCCTTCCCCTTGAACCAGAATTTGCTTTGTCATGGTAATAGGTGCTATGGTAGTCATGAAGTTGTATGTAGATTTATATTTTGTCCCTTCCATTATTTTAATATTTATGTTAAGTGCTTGATGGAATAGATTTCTGTTTTATATGAGGATGAGTGCGTGGTGATGATGATGATGATGATGATGATGATGATGATGATGATGATGATGCAAAATGAGGCCACAGCAAGCAGCACTTGTAGGGCTTTGCTGGGGAAGAGGTGTCTGAGAGGAGGAGAGAGCAGAGGAGAAGTGTCCCTGTTGTGGAATACATTTAATGTGCATCATAAAAGGAATTGATGAGCAAGACTTGCAGCTCAGCTGCTCGAGCTGTGCCAGGGAGGAAGGCCCTGGTGTCCCCTGTGTCACCTCCAGACACACACTCTGAGTCCAGCTGTGCTTCCCAGCCCCATCCCACCCCCTGCCCTGCTGGAGAGGCAGGCTGGGAGCTCTGGAGTCCCTGGGACAAGGGGAGGGGAGGAAGGAGGTTGTCAGAGAAGTTGCACAAAGAGGAGGAGGAGGAGGAGGAGGAGGCTGCCCTGGTCCGTGCCCGCCTGCCCAGCAGCGTTGCAGTGCCCGAGGCTCCCTTGGGCTGGGGATGAGCTGCTTTGGGCCTCAGTGGGAGCTGCTGTCTCCTCCTGGGGTGGGACAGGGTCACAGGGTGTGACACACCTGAAGGATGGGATGGTTTAGTGCTGCTTTCCAGGGCTCCTGGCACTGCTTTGGCAGCGATCCCTCCCTGCTGGCCGCAGGGTCTGGGAGTGCCAGCGCTGCCAGGAGCCCCTGCTGGAGCTTGGACTGGGCTGTGTCAGCCCCAGATGGGCTCCACCAGCAGCACTGGGCTGCAGCCTGGGAAACCACGCAGGGACAGCACAGCCCACCCTGCCCAGGAGCTCCCTGCTGCTGGCCAGGCCCTGGGGACAAACGGGGGCAGGAGAAGGAGGCTGGGGAGGTGGGACAGGAGCTGGAGGTCGCTCTGCCCTGCAGTCAGTCACTGTGTGAGCAGGGGCTCTGTGAGTGTTGCTGAGCCCAGGTGAGGCTGCTGGCTCCAGGTTAATGCTGCTTTGAGCCACACCTGCCTGAGCTCCTCTGCCTTTGCCCTGGCTCCTTCCCCCAGCCCTGCACTGGGGCCTCCTGTGCACTGTGGGCGGCTGCACAAGTGCCTCGTGCCCCTGCCCGCGCTTCCATCCCCACCCCTGGCTGGGGCACGGCCCCTCAGAGCCAGGCGTGAGCAGAAACACACCCTGCCCTGCAGTGCTGCACCTGTGAGCCATGGCATTGCACCCTGCCCTGCAGTGCTGCACCTGTGAGCCATGGCATTGCACCCTGCCCTGCACTGCTGTACCTATGAACAATGGCATTGCAACCCTGCCCTGCACTGCTGCACCTGTGAGCCATGGCATTGCACCCTGCCCTGCACTGCTGCACCTGTGCAGGGTGTCATGGAGCCCTGCCCTGCAGTGCTGGACCTGTGCAGGTGTCACTGAACCTGTGCACAATGTCACTGAGCCTGTGCAGGGTGTCATTTAACCTTGCTCTGCAGTGCTGAACCTGTGCAGGTGTCACTGAATGTGTGCAGGTGTCACTGACCCTGGGCAGGATGTCATTGCACCTGTGCAGGTGTCACTGAACCTGTTCACAATGTCACTGACCCTGTAGAGGATGTCACCAAATGTGTGCAGGTGTCACTGACCCTGTGCAGGTGTCATTGAACCTGTGCAGGTGTCATTTCACCCATCCTGTAGTGCTCAACCTGTTCACAATGTCACTGAATGTGTGCAGGTGTCACTGAACCTGTTCACAATGTCACTGACCCTGTAGAGGATGTCACCAAATGTGTGCAGGTGTCACTGGCCCTGTGCAGGTGTCACTGGCCCTGTGCAGGTGTCATTTCACCCCACTCTGCCAGGGCAGCAGCTCCAGGCTCTGCTGGTGCAGGTCGGAACAGCCTGAGGGGATTTTGGGAAGGGATCCCCTGGCAGGGCAGCGTTCAGAGCAGGGCTCTGGGGTGGTGGTGGCACCTCCAGTGCTGGGGACATGCCAGCCCTTCAGAGAGGCACACAATGAGTGACACTGCCAGGGCCTGGGCTGCCACTGTCACTGCCACCTCAGGCTGGGGTGTCTGGCACTGTCACTGCCACTGTCACCACAGCCTGGGGTGTCTGGCACTGTCACTGCCACTGTCACCACAGTCTGGGGTGTCTGACACTGCCACTGTCACTGCCACCACAGCCTGGGGAGCTGCAGTTCTGCCCTGGGCTGGCACTGACACTGGCACTGTCACTGCCACTGTCACTGTCACCTCAGCCTGGGGAGCTGCAGCCCTGCCCTGGGCTGGCACTGTCCCTGGCACTGTCACAGCCTGGGGAGCTGCAGCCCTGCCCTGGGCTGGCACTGACAGGCAGGGCAGCATTTCTGGCATTTCTCCATGCTGCTGCAGAGCAGGGGCTCGCAGAGGGCTGGCAGGAATCAGGATGCCATTCCCAGGTCATTGGGGCTTCAGGGAGGAGGTTCCCCTTGCTCAGCCCTGCCCCAGGAGCCTGCCCAGCCCTTGGGGAAGGACAAGCTCCACGTCCCAGCCTGTGCCCAGGGGAACCTTTCAGGTTACATTTTGTGGCGGGTGAAACACGAGGATGTTTTACTTCACAGTGTAATTTTAAGAGGCCTGGCCTGGCTCATGATCTGCCCTCTCATATTCCATGGTGTGTGTGTGTGTGTTTTTGCTCTCTCTCACTTTCTCAGAGTCACAGAGCTGTTTTGATTGATTGTCCTCAGCTGCAGCTGAAAGTCCAGCCAGCCAGTTTATAGACTTGGTTCCAGCATCAATTCTCACTTTGAAAAACATGACATTTAAAACCACCCTTTGGTTTTCCTACATATGGATCTGATGCTTTTGTTCAAGATTGTTTTTGCTGCTTTTCCCCTGCAATATAAGTCTGATTTGGACACCACATCTCCTTGACCTCAGAGCACCTTCATTTCAGTGCCATGGTAATTGACAGGTTGAATTTATGAGACACTGTCAGGGCTCAGTATTAATAGCAGATATTAATGTCACCAGCGTTTTCCAATGGAGAATTAATGGCAGTGTTGTCTGTAACCCTCTGAAAGGATTCCTCCCTGCCTCCACACAGGCCCTGCTTTTCTGCTTTCTGCTCTAATCCCTTGGTTTTAATGACATTACAATAGGGCACTCAGCAAATCCTCCCCTCCCCTTCCCTGCTCCTGCTCCACGCCTTTGCTCCTTTCCAAGGGGTTTGTGTGAGCCCAGAGTAAGTGTGGAGCTGTGGGAGGGTGGGAGGTGCTGGGAGAGTGCCCAGTGCTCAGGGGAGCTGTCCCTGCCTCCCTCGTGGTGGACACAAAGCTTGGCCTGACCCAGGAATTCCTTAGAGAGAAGCCTGAGCTCAGGGAGGAGAGGCAGGCGCTCCTGTGTGCCTCAGAGCCCTGCTGGGCTGCAGGATGAGGCTCAGGCTCTTCTCTCTGCTGTTTAATTGGCACCTCTGTCAAGATGAAAAGCCTTTGGTTGCTGCTCAGGTGCTTTGTTTGGCCAAGAAACCTTTCCTGAGAGCCTGGCCCCCTGAACGGCCCAGGGATGGAGGAACAGGGATGTTCTTCACCCAGGTGTTGTGTGCTCACCCAGCACAGGGTGTGGGATTGCCCCACACTGGGATTTTTAGAGAAGCAGGTCTCAAATGCCATCAATCTGAAAGAGCCCCAAAGGCAGGGGCAGAGAGAGAGCAGAGCTGCTGGGGGCTGTGGCTTTGCAGGGCAGGGAGGGCCTCTCCAGGCTGCCAGAGCCCCAGGGACCCCAGGTGTGATGTCCCTCCTCCTCCTCCTCCTCCTCCTCCTCCTCCTCCTCCTCGTCCTCCTCCCCTCACTGCACAGCCCCTGCAGTCCCCAGGATGCTGCAGGCCTTGCCATGGTGGAGCCCTGAGGTGTCACTGGTAGCAAAGATGTTTTCTGTGTCCCCAGGAGCCCTTTGGACCCTTCAGGCTGAAAGAGGAGCTGGAGGGCATTTTGTGGTTGCTGTTTTTAACCACCAGGTTCATGCTGCTGCACTGGGTGCAATGCCCATCTTTCCTGGAGTTCTTCCAGGTGTACAAACCTTGACACAGATATCTCTGTACTGTATTTCTCTGCTTTTCCCTGACTTTTGATGAGTTTACTGGTGACAAAGAGGCAACTCTGACTTGTTGAAGAGGTGGAACTTCATGTCTGGAGGCAGGTGTGTGATGCAGGAGGGAGTTGATGGGTCCCTACTTGAAAAAATCTCTAAAAAAAAAAAAAATCTCAATTCTCAAGCCTGCTGCACCTTGTCCAGGTGGGAAGGGGCTGAGGGCACAGCCTCAGCTGGGGTTTCTCCATGCTGGTGTGTACCTGCACATTTCCCTTCTTCCCTACACCTTCTGGAAGAGGAAATCCTGCTTGGCCAACACAGCATTGCTTCAGTGGCTGCTCTGCTGTAGTTCAGACAAGGCTCCCACCAGCCCCCATGTTTAATAAATCCTTTTTACTCAAAACAACCCCCCAAAAAGCCAGCCAAGATGCTCCATATTTTTTTTTTCTCCCTTTCCATCTTGTTCCTGTTAGAGGAACTCTGGGGGCCTGACTTGGTGCTTTCACTCTTTCACATGCCAAAGATCCCTCTTAGT